GAACGCGGCGCGAAGGATGCGTAACCGGTCTTCGAACAACGAGAGCGAGGAGTACTCAGATCGTTGGATTCTCAAGTTCGCGCGAAAAGTATGTCCTGATTCCGTGCCGGCACAGATGATTCCTCGCGAAACGACGAATTCTGTAGACGAGATCAGCCAGCCTTTTTCAATGCTGGAACTCTCACTCGCGCTCCTTTCGTGTGGCAATTCGGCTCCGGGGGCTGATAGAATCAAGTTCAACTTGTTGAAGAACCTCCCAGACGTCGCTAAGAGGCGCATGTTGAACTTGTTTTGTCAGTTCCTGGAGCTCAATATTGTTCCGGATGATTGGAGGCAAGTGAGAGTTATAGCCATTAAAAAGCCTGGAAAACTCGCTTCAGATCATAACTCGTATCGTCCCATCGCGATGTTATCGTGCATTCGAAAATTGTTGGAGAAAATGATCCTTTTTCGCTTGGACAAATGGGTTGAGACGAACCACCTACTCTCAGATACTCAATTTGGATTCCGTAGGGGCAAGGGAACGAACGACTGTCTCGCGTTGCTTTCCACAGAAATTCAGTTGGCTTTTGCTAAAAAAGAGCAAATGGCTTCTGTATTCTTGGATATCAAGGGGGCTTTTGATTCAGTATCCGTTGAAGTCCTTTCAGACAAACTCCGCGCTTGTGGCCTTTCTCCATTAATTAATAACTTTTTGTACAATTTGCTGTCAGAGAAACATATGAGCTTTTCTCATGGAAACTCTACAGCTTCTCGATTTAGTTACATGGGTCTCCCCCAGGGCTCATGTTTAAGCCCCCTTTTGTATAATTTCTACGTCAGAGAAATTGACAATTGTCTAAGTGACAACTGCACGTTGAGACAACTTGCAGATGACGGCGTAGTGTCTATGACAGGGCCCAAAGGGGTCGACCTGCAAGGACCCTTACAGGATACCTTAGACAATTTGTCTACTTGGGCTATTCAGCTAGGTATCGAATTCTCCACGGAGAAAACTGAGTTGGTCGTTTTTTCTAGGAAGCATAGCCCAGCACAACCAAAGCTTCAACTTTTGGGTAAACCGATCACTCATTCTATGTCCTTCAAATATCTTGGGGTCTGGTTCGATTCAAAATGCACCTGGAGATCCCACATTGAGTATCTGAGACGAAAATGCCAACAAAGGATCAATTTTCTCCGAACAATTACCGGAACGTGGTGGGGAGCTCATCCGCAAGATCTTCTAACGTTGTACCGGACAACGATTTTATCGGTTTTAGAGTACGGTAGTTTTTGCTTCCAGTCGGCGGCTAAAACTCACATCATCAAACTGGAACGTATCCAGTATCGTTGTCTTCGTATCGCGTTAGGATGCATGCACTCGACTCATACGATGAGTCTAGAAGTGTTGGCGGGCATGTTGCCACTATCGGATCGGTTCTCGGAATTGTCCCTCAGGCTCCTCACCCGTTGCGAAGTTATGAACCCACTGGTAATCGAAAACTTTGAAAAGCTTCTTGAGCTGAACCCTCAAACTCATTTTATGTCATTGTACTACGTGTACATAACACAGGATGTCAGCCCTTCACAGCATAATCCTCATCGTGTATGCTTCTCCGACTTCGGCAATTCAGTTAGTTTTGATTTATCTATGACGCGGGAGATTCGTGCGATCCCAGAACATCATCGTTCCATGATTGTTCCGTCAATTTACGCTGCAAAGTTTGGCCAAGTTGATTCCGCAAGATCGTTCTTCACAGATGGATCACTAATAGAGTCGTCCGCTGGTTTTGGTATTTTTAACGAATTTCATAGCGCCTCTCGAATGCTTCAAGCTCCTTGTTCCGTATATGTTGCTGAGCTGGCGGCAATACATTATACGCTAGAAACGATCGCCTCACTTGCACCAGATCATTATTTTATTTTTACGGATAGTCTCAGTTCTGTCGAGGCTATTCGCTCTATGAGGCCGGTAAAGCACTCCTCGTATTTTCTCATGAAAATACGAGAGCTTTTAAGTGCTTTATCTTTAAGATCTTTTGTCATCACCTTTGCATGGGTCCCATCTCATTGCTCGATTCCGGGCAATGAGATGGCTGACTCACTTGCTAAGGTGGGCGCTATGGAAGGCGATATTTACGATCGACAAATCGCCTACGATGAATTTTTCTTCATTTATCGTCAACAGTCACTCGTCAGCTGGCAGAATAAGTGGAGTGAAGGGAGTTTGGGACGATGGCTATATTCGATCATCCCTAAGGTGTCGAAGAGTTCTTGGTTCAAGGGGTTGGATGTGGGTCGAGACTTCATTCGTGTGATGTCTCGCCTCATGTCCAATCACTATTCGTTAAACGCTCACTTGTTCCGTGTTGGGCTGGGGGACAGCAATCTCTGTGAATGTGGACAAGGTTACCAGGACGCAGATCACATTATTTGGTCTTGTGCTGAGCATCGCGGAGTCAGATCTGAACTGTACGATTCCCTTCGGGCTCGAGGTAGACAACCTAATGTTCCAGTTCGGGATATTTTGGCTAGACGCGATCTGGAGTTTATGAAACTCATATATGTTTACTTTAAGAATATTAACATTAGATTGTAAGTTTTATTAACCTTGTGTTTAGTTTGTATTTTGTACGTGTGGGTTTTTTTTTATGTTTGTTTTCAAGATGAATAGAAATTCGTTCATGTTTTAGGATTAATTAAATATTTGTATCGTAAACCACATTTCAAACCTCCCTCTCCCTTTTCCCATCCAAAAAAAATTGTAAATCCCCACTAACCTCGAGACAACCGCGAGTATCCGGTCCAGCTCCTTTAACTTTAAATATAAGAAATCAATAATGTATAACAAAAATGATAACTCGGCTCTGTAAAGTTTATTCGATTGAGCCTGTACAAATAAAGTAATTAATAAAAAAAAAAAAAAAGAAGTAGCTACGCGTGTTTAATAGGTTGAATACATCTGAACCTCAACAAAAACTTGCTTCCACTCACTTGCTATAAAAGGATGATTTTCTGAATTTTGAAATCATTAGATGTTCTAATGATGTTTTGTACTTATTGGATACAGGAGGAGGTTGAAAGGCGGGTGTTTGACACATGGAACCTGTCAAATTCGCTTTCAGATAGTCGCAATAGGCGATTTTACGACTCGCGAGCGCTCACTCTGAGTGAACGCTCACGAGTCGTAAAATCGCTGATTGTGGCACTCTGGAAGTGAGGTTGACAGGTTTTTTGTGTCAGATATTTACCTTTCAGCATCTTCTTGTATCTAATAGGTGCAAAATATTATTGTTAACGTCTAATGATTTCAAAATTCAGAAAATAACTTTTTATAGCAAGTGAGTGGAAGCAACCCTGCCTGGAATATGTCCAGAAGTGATATGTGATGTGACTGTCAATGAACTTGACTTTGTATTATCATGTGATTGGATGTATAGCATGGTGGGTTTCAATCAATGTCAAAAACTAACCACTTTGTTTGCCAAAACCCATTATAAGCAAATCTATGCCAAATAGCGAAAAACAAACGAATTTTAGTTTTTACCTCAAAAAATTCCATTAAACTTCGCGAATCTATTTGATATACGCGAAACATATTTCTCTTACATCCAATGTAAGGTTGGATTTATTATATCCTCCAAATATGTAATGGCAGTTCCTGAAAGGACTGCAGCGTACAAGAAAGTTTTTCCTGATTGCTTCTTTAAGCTTCACGAAATAATTTTCTAGTCGCAATGTATTTGGGAGAACAAACTTTGTAAGAAAAATTACATAACATAAAATTACAAAATTATTTTAAAATCCTTCCGGTGGCCACATTACAGAATCTGTTCATGTCGCGAAACATTGCAATTTCTGCATACTTTTTATTTGTGATAGAATCTAACAATTCCTAGTTGGGCGTTGGGTAAACTGCCCCCAATAATCCTTGTTATCTCGTTCAAATTCGCATGCAGGGTTGCTTCGACTCACTTGCTATAAAAAAATATTTTTCCGAATTATGAAAACATTAGATGTTATAATAATAATTAGTACTTGTTAGTGACAAGAAGAGATCGTGGAAAATGTGTTTGACTTATAAAACCTGTAAATATTGCTCACAATCAGTGATTTATCAGTTCGTGAGCGCTCACTCTGAGTGAACACTTGCGAATCATAAGATCGCTGATTGTGACACTCTGAAAGCGAAATTGACTGGTTCTATGAGTCGAACACATACTTAACTCACTCTTCTTGCACAGCATGTCATTATATTATCTAATGATTTCATAATTCCGAAAAACATTGTTTTATAGCAAGTGAGTGGAACCAACTCTGTTTGCATGTGTAATGAACTTAGCCGTTTGGTTGTATTGTAGCTAGGTGAAGAGCCAGAAAAGAGACACATCTGAATCTCAATCCTGAGATATTCGAAAATCTCACGCAATCGAATCTATCAAAATGATATTTTACACATCTATATAAATCTATGAACTCGCATCGTGCACTATCGTTTTGCCGAAATTCTTCAAAATGATCATCAATCGCGCATCTCACGACAGCAAAACAAAATCATCCTTGCATTATCGATAGATTCTACTCTGGTTAGAGTATCAAATTACAAAGGCAAAATTATGAACTATGCAAAACGATGAAGTAGTCATCGAATAAGAAAGCGTTCACTGTTATCAGAAAATCAAAAATGAGTTGGCAAGTCTTCAGAAAATGGCTCATTTGAAAATCTTAACATTTTCAATACAAGGCAATGCAACGATTTTAACGTCTGCATGACTTCTGGATGTTGAGATAAGTGCCTCTGAAAACGCGAAGTGGAATGATTCGTTCAATTATGTCCTAAAGCTTTGACATCATATCTCCATATACTTACACATGCCACCATGAACAGAACCGATCCGAACACTCTCATCCGTTTGTCGAACCGCATCTGCAAATACTATAAAAGCACAAAACAAAATATCCACTAAGCGAACGCATCATATCAAGTGGGGCTTTCTTTTAACCAAACGCTCAAAAAGCTCTTACATTCCACAGCCATAACAAAGTTTATTCCATTTATATATCCTATCACATTCACACCGAATCACAGTTGCCGACTTTCGCGCTCAAAGCTGAATGTCTTTCGTCTCGAACTCGTGTATAACCTCCGTCACGTTTCTCACTTTGTTCGGTTGGTAGTACTTTTGAATGAAAGGTGCCAGCAACTGTGGGTCGACATTCTGCTCTTCTGGGTTTAATCCTACAGTGAAACTCATAACAACCGAGCTTAAATAGCCAATGATCGTTGGAATCATTGATCCAATTAGCGTGTAGTATAGGAATGACACGTGATGAAGTGACTTTTCCACATCCGTGCTGGACCCGTCAGTGGGAAATGAAACGGTTCTGTTGAGCGGAGTAAAGTCGTACGCACATCCTTCGACGGTGACAGGTTTCTCTGCAAACACCATTTCACCGAGTGCGATGGAAATCTGAGATCGAATGACGATGTATGACATAGTGGCAAGCCCACCAATTGTTCCGATAATGGCACACTAAAATGAGGTTTGGAATAAGTTTACGAAGAACAAGCTATCTCGACCAAAGTGACTTACTGTTCCATTGATTCGTGGGAAGAACATTCCCATTATGAAAAGTCCAAATAACGGTCCAAGTGTGACTGGACCCAAGCTCATCGATAACTGTAGAACGGCTCCCATTTTTTCGACCACTGCCACCAGCACGACGGCCAAAGCTCCAAAGATTAGAACAGTACCTCTCATAAGATAGCGAACTTGCATCTCTGTCAAGGGTCGTTTAACGAAGGGTTTGCAAAAATCTTCCAAAACAATTGCAGAAAGTGAATTCAGAGCAGTTGACAGTGAGCTCAAGGCAGCACTGAAAATGCCAGCTACAAATAATCCGGCAAGACCGGGATAGATTGCCAATACTTCCATCACCAGCAGAGGCACTAGCTGGTCCTTTGCTTTGGCCAGACCTGTGCTCAGTGGATCACAATCGTGATGCATTGCGTAGATCAGGAGCCCGTTGTAACAGCAAAGTGATAGCACTACAGTGGTTCCGACGAGAAACAGAAGAAGTGCCTTTCGAGCTGCTCTCAGACTGGGTAGTGAGAGGTATCGCTGTATCATATTTTGGTTCGTTGCATTGGTGGATGTCCAGAAAAAAGTCCCACCAATGAATAAGTTCCAAAACGTGTTTCTTGTCGTGGGATCTAGGTTAAAACTGCGCACAAGACATTATGGAATTAATATCAAGAAAATTTTATAAAATAAAGCAACATACTCTGGTTTTTCGAATCTCTGCCCAGCAGAGTTTCGCTCAATTACTACTCCCAGCCCACCCACGTCAATGGTGCCCTTGATGATAACAATAATCATAGCGCCAACCATAATTGTTGTTTGGATTACATCGGTCCATACCACGGCTTTCAGTCCACCCTATAAGGAAAATTCGATTGAATCTCAAAGACACTCAAAGAGACTAATTGTCACTCACCACACTGGTGTAGAAAATGCAGACTAGGCAGACAATCGGCGTGATTACATGGATGTTCACTCCGGACACTGTTATGGGGGAAATGAAAACAGTGAAAATTATGCAACAGTGTGGAATATCAGTCATCTTTACCTTGATTGAACGCCAAAGCGGGAACGTACACCACGATTGGGAGCCAAAGAAGCTACAATGAGATTAAAAACAAAAAACGGGGAAGGTTATCGAGAGGAGCTTGAGAGAAAGTTACTTCAATGAACACCTACCGAAGCCATTGTAAACAGAATGGAGCCTATCAATCGCATCCTTTTATCAAACCGTAGCTGCAGGTACTGGAAATAGAGTTGATAGAAGAAGAAGGTTAACACTTTTACAGATTGTATGGACGTCAGTGAGAACTTTGGATTTCGAAGTGAAATGATCATCACTGACTGGTCTTCAGAATTTTGAATCAAATTCGAAATCCCTAAAATTATCGAAACACCTTGATTCGCAACAAATGTCCATAAATAGCAGACAAAATAGCTATGGAGCGTTTTGGATCTGATAGGTCCAAGCTCTGATATGTAATGGAATAAACAAATAGTGTTGAAATTCCTAAGAGGTTTTGAAATGAGTGGGATTACGGGAAAAGCTCTTCATTAACGGTTCTGGCGAATTGCACGCCAACTCGACAATGAAGTTGGCAGAACCCTCTCAGATTCCAATGAAATATGGTGGGGGTAAAGTATTGTCTAGTGACGCAAGTTTGCATACTTATTTTCCTTAAACAAAACTAATACTACCATTTGAACAGGGATTTTTTCTACAAAAAAATTAAAACTTAAAAATGAGTAAACCTACAAAAATGTTGTCGAAGAGTGATTTCTAGAGAATTATGTGAGCTTTCAATGTCAAAAAATGAAAAATTTACTTCCTACACTGGATAAAATATGATAAAACTATTTAAAATTCTCAACGACTTTTCTTAAAACGGGATTTTTGAAAATAATAAAATATCTTATAAAACGACCGATAAATTATATACAAGTCATTAATATACCCCAAGTAAAAATGATATTCTACTCTAGGCGGTGAAGATGTATTATAAAATAGCTGTGCCCCTAGTGATAAAAAAACGCTTTAAAAATTATATTGGCTTAAGCATGCTCATATAACATAAGAAAACGTATTCCAAACATTTAAAGATATGATCAGCATGATCGTAGTTGGTTTTTAAACGTCTTTTTTGCGGAGAACTTCAGAATAGTTTCAATAATATCAGGAAAATTTGCAGGAATTTTAGTTCTGAGGAATATGGGGGAGTCTAAAAACCAGGAAAGTATGCGCTTATTAGGGATGGTCTATTAATTATGTCACGCAAATTTGGCCCATTTGTACCCCCCCCTCCCCCCCTTTGTCACATTTTTTTGTATGAACCTTAATTTTTTTTGTATGGCTCGTCACAGTTTTCAAACCCCCCCCCCCTCCCCCTAAATGTGTGACATAATTAATGGACGACCCCTTACAGCAATTTCGACAACTTAAGGGATGCTCCATAAACTTTAGAGAATATGTGAAACATTCTGAGAAATTATAAAAACGAGAACTACTCAAAAGTTCAGAACTTTGTGATCTTTAAGGGTGTATTCCCAAAACTATAGGCAGTTAAGGATAAGAATGATGGAATCCAAAAATGGTTTATTTGCCTTGATCAGTATTTTTTCCCCCTAGATTTGTTTCGTCGATATTGCTTTCCGTGCTGAGCACCAATGCTACCGACGCCAGGGAGGCAGCTCCCACACCTGGACCCTCCCTACCTATCGACCCATCAACTAATGAACCGGGGACCAACGGCTTTACTTCCCTTATATGCCCTCAGAACATCCCGGTGGCGCCGACTGGGATTTAACCCAGGCCTGCAAGAGATAATCACGCTTACCACTAACCCACCGTCGCTGCTTTTTTTGGAATGTTGAAAACCATTAAATTTCTGCACTATTTGTTAGTACACTGTTTTGTGTATTTTTTTTTACAGAAAATTATTTAACATTTTTTAAACATTGTTTCTGAGCATAAATTTCAAGAACAAGTGTTATAAAAATTAGTTAAAAAAAATTGCAAAAAGTTCCTGTTTAACATTTGTTGTAATTTTTTTAGTGTCCATAACTATATCAAATCAGACATTTTGAGATGATTATGATTATATTTTTTTTTTCTTGAAATTACTGAACACATCTTTTAGTAACTTTTTCTTTTAGTAACATTATTTTTCTCTACAACTTTGTCTCAGACGTCATTTAGTTCAGAAGTGCCGTTTCCGTGCTACAATTTAAACAAGATCCAAAATGACAGAATTTTGGCAAAATTGCCAATCATAGCCCTATTATGCAAAGATTCATGAAAATCGGAGAAGGTCGAGTTATATCGAATCGTCGTTTGGCGTGGAACTGCTATAAATTTTATTTTTGAAACACTATTGTTATGACAATTTTTAGCTCCAGTCTGGATGAAATCTCGTCGCTGGATCAAAACGACGTGAATGCTTAGAAGTACGCGTGCATCAGATTTGGCTCAAGGCAGGATCTGGGAACTTTTCCAGAAGATATGGAACCAATGATGGAATTTGGCTCAAATCAAATAATGGTCACTTCCACGGGATACTCGGTACATATTTGAACGTGGTCAATTTGATTATGAAGACTAAATATGAAGAAGAAAGAGATGTGACCAATGTGGTCTTGGTCACTCAATATGATTGGAATATTAGACTGATGAAAAATTTGAAATTTTCGCTCCACGGTGTTCAAACGGTTTTAAATCGGGTCCTGATTAGCCTCCGAAAGTTTAAACTCATTTGATAAGAAACTGACTTGGCACAAACCATTTGAAGTTTAAATGGAAATTATTATGGGAGAACAAAACTTTTTGTTCATTGTCTTTTAGCCTTTTTACATATTACTGTTAAAAAATTCTATTGCTATTCATATGGGAATTTTTATCAGCTACAACTTTGCGGAAAATTGTTTTTCAGCCAAATGTCAAATTAAATAGTTATTAATTGTTTAAGAGATTGATAATCTTATGGCAAGATTAAGCAACTGTATTGTGGGCAACACTGTATTCTGCAGTGTGACATAGTAGCCATGATTTTTGTCCTGTACACGGTAACCCCAAAATACCCAATAATGACTACAAAGTAAGCATTTTCGAGGAAGACTGGGACTACCCATTAAATGAGTAAACAAATTACCCATTTATGAGTATTTGTTATTCAAAAATGAATCCTTACTACTTGTTTTTGTAGTTGTAATATCTCATAAATGGGTAAAATTTTACTCATTTAATGGGTAGTCCCAGTTTCCCTCGAAAATGCTTACTTTGTAGTAATTATTGGGTATTTTGCGGTTACCGTGTATTCTTCGCGCCATAAACACCAATGTTGCCTGCTGAACAGTTGAATGAGCATAATCATAAGACATCAGTGACTTGAATCATTAATAACTTTTGTTCCTTACATTTGATCGAAAACTGGTTTTGAACAAAGTTGTAGCTGAGAAAATTTTCAACAAGCTCAGCTATCATTTTCTAAAGTAGAGTGAACTGGTGAGTTTTGAGATATACGTGAACCAAAATTATGGTTTCTTCATAGTAATTCCCATATAAACTTCAAATGCTTGTGCTAAGTCAGTTACTCACTAAATGAGTTCAAATTTTGGTTGGCTAATCAGTAGAGTGATGCAAAATTTTAAATTTTCGCTCCACAGTACTTAAACGATTCCAAATCGGATTCTCACTAACCTTTCAAAATTTGAACCCATTTGGTGAGAAACTGAGATGGCACAAACCATTTGAAGTTTGTATGGGAATTACTATGGTAAAACCAAGATTTTTGTTTATGTCTATCTAATAATTCACCATATCGATCTGCTTCAAAAGCTTTCAACTGTACTCATGGGAAATTTTTCCAGCTACAACTTTGTTGAAGACAACTTTCTGATTAAATGCAAGGATCGAAAGTTATCAATGGTTCAATGCGCTGATGTCTTATGATCATGCTCAATCAACCCAGCAGGCAACATTGGTGTTTCTAGGGCATTGAATAGGACACAAAAATCATGGCTACTATGTCACACTGCAAAATACAGTGTTGCCTACAGAGCAGCTGCTTGATCATGTCATAAGTTTACCAATCTCTTAAATAATTAATAACTTTTTCATGTCTCGTTTTCCGTAGAAACGAGCTTCAGCAAAGTTGTAACTGAGAAAATTTTCTATAAGAATGGCTATCGAACTGTTTCGCAGCTTAATATGGGAAAAGACTAGAAGGCAATGAACAAAAAGTTGAGATTTCCCATAGTAATTTACATGTAAACTTCAAATGGCTTGTGCGAAGTCTGTTTCCAACCAAATGAGTTGTAACTTTGGGAGGCTAATCAAGACCCGATTTGAAACCATTTAAGCACTGTGGAGCGAAAAATTCAAATTTTGCATCAGTCTACTAATCAGGGCCCAATTAGGAACCGTTTTTGCACTGTGGAGCGAAAACTTCAAATTTTACATCAGTCTATTGGACTTTGTCTAGGCATTCTCATCATAAGGTCTGCCTCAAGCCAAACTCTAACCAATTTCCTGGGAGCTTCTGGAACTTGTCCGGGTAGGCCAAGATTATCCTGGGCACTCACAATCAGGGTTTTTTTTTATATCTTTATTAAGGAGACTTTCAGCCGTTGGCTGGCTCGTCTCCGGATACACAATCAGGGTTGCTTCCACTCACTTGCTATAAAAAAAATATTTTTCGGAATTATGCAATCATTAGATGTTATGATGATATGTTGTACTAGTAAGTAACAAGAAGAGGGAGTAAAGTATGTGTTTGACTCATAAAATCTGTCAATTTCGCTTTCAGAGCGTCACAATCTGCGATCATATGATTCGTGAGCGTTCACTCAGAGTGAGCGCTCACGAGTCGTAAAATCGCTGATTGTGACGCACTGATAGCAATATTGACAGATTTTATGTGTCAAACATATACTTCATGACCTCTTCTTGTAACTTACAAGTACTAATTAGCATTATACTATTTCATGATTTCATAATTCCGAAAAAAAAATTTTATAGCAAGTGAGTGGAAGTAACCCTGCTCACAATGACATAAAATGGTTATCTTTTCAAAATCGGATGTGATTTTAAGTGTAATAGGATAGGATTTAATTTAAATCAGATATTGGCCACTTCCCCGAGATAATGCCCAGGTGTAGCCAATGTGGTCTTGGGTACTGGATATGACCACTAATGACTATGATTTTGAATTAATATGATATATGATGAGTTGCATCATGAAGTTTGGTTCAAGTAAGAAATTGACCACCATTCGAGGGACCCCGGATCAGGTCCAATGCAATGGGGTCCTGAGAACTCAATATGACTCAGGGATCTCGATTTATAAATCTCGTGTGATTTTATGTCATGCATGATAAATTTGGCTCAATTCGGATCATTTATGGTTTCCAAGTACGTGCTTTTAACTAAGGCAACGATCCCAAAGATACATATTACATAATGTTTTATGGAACGCCGATATATTTCATACAGCGTTGGTTTTGTCTAACCTGGTGCATTACCGAGAAGCTAATCTTTCAAATTTTAATAACACACCCACACACACACGCACACACAACTGCCCATTAATATATGATAGACACTAACCTCATATGCCGAAGTAATCTGCAGATCATGGAACACTGGCAAAAAGATGTAATGCATTGCCAACCCCATCATGACGATGGCGAAAACGATGTAACAATATTGCGTTCCGTACACGTAGATTTCCGTAGATGTTCCCAGCAGGGAGATACCGGAAATCCAACTAAAATAATAATTATCAATATTCCAGAAAAACTCGTTACAAAATTCCACAAAGGACATACCTTGCCACCAGGGAAACAGCTACCGGGAAGATCTTCATCTTCCTTCCACCAACCAGGTAATCGAGCGCCTCCGAGTCCCTTCGTGCACTCTTCCTATTCTTGTGCTTCAGATGGTCTTTGTATCCGAAGAAGATTCCTATGAAAATGCAACTGACCAACATCAACATAAACACCAGATAGTCTGGCCAGTTGAACCGCTGAAGCGATCGACTCAGCTCATCCACACTTTGGCTCGATGCTGTGGCCATGGTTGTACTCCCGGTCCCGAGAGAATCCAGCGAAGCCATTGTTGGTGGTCCTTCCGTTGACATTTTTATATCCTTTGACGGCGGCGGTGGTGGCGTTCTCCAACAACAGAATCTGCTGTCAAAAATAGCTCGGGAAGGTTCACATGTGCAGATAACGGCTTCTCGGCTGGAAGTGTGAGATTTTATAAGAAACCGTGCGTTTTCATTAGCAGTGCACGAACGACCTAGATAAAAATGTGATTTATGCCCGCATGTTCATCTACACCAGCACAATTGTTCAATTCTACGTCATGCTATGGCTCTGTTTATTTTTCTGAGATTAATCGTTATAAAACAATAAACAAAATGTATTGTTAAATATTTGAGTGATGAAGATGAAACTATTCGCGAATTATGTTACTAACTACGTCATCTGCTAGTGCGGATCATAAAGGGTGTTGCACGATAAGGCAAGATGACTGTCTAATCATGTAGCAAAGCGTAGGGGATAGTCTTCTTGTTGTTGGCTTTTACGATTCTTTAGTGAGCGTTTTTCCAACTCTCCTCAACTTAGTGTTCTAGATGAATTTTCACAGTTATTAGTTGAGAGTCATTAGCAATGCATAATTTCGTATATTTTGTGGCAAGCACAATGATACTCTATGTCCAGGAAAATCGAAAATAAAATCAACCCGACAGATTTCCTCGACTGGTCCGGGAATCGAACCCGCCGCCTGAAACTAGGGTTGCATCATCGATTTTACGTACATTTTTCTATGATGAGGAGCCGAAAACCATTAAATAATTGAATAATTGGCAAATCTAAGCTGGCACTATTGGAGACTAGAAGAACTATGAAAGTGATGATGGTTTCAAAATTTTATACGGTTAGGTAAATTAGTGCAATCTTAAAATGTATTTGCTTAGCGAAAAAAATATTTTAATAAAATCTGGTTAATGCTACGTTAGAAGAAAACTTTAGGGTTACTCAATAGCAGTGTTGGGAAAATATCAAAAAATCAAATCCCACCAACGCCCAGACAAAAATCAACAAGCAAACAACTGCGGTTTATTTTGCAAGCTGTGATATCGCAGCTCGGAATATCAAGCTAATAAAACTCACCAACTGCAAATCTCACCATACTGTGGTGAGATTGAGTTCAATGATTTTTGCTTTACATCCGAACGCAACCGAAACTTTCATAACGGCTTGCAGCAGTCCCTTTGCGTCTGCCATCGGTGAAGATTAAAAAGGGATAGCACACTTTGCTGACTCTTTCGAAGAAAACGATGTGCAATGGAAACATTTTTGTGTCGAGTCAACTCTCAGCTTGATGTTTGCACGTTGTGAATAGTCTCGCAATATCAAAGGAGCTTGTTAAATCAATATCAAGCTTGATGTTTTGTTCCAATATCACGCGTGATATTGCGAGCCCATGAGAGCGAAAAAATATCAATTCATTTCTGATTTTGCCAACACTGCTCAATAGACATATAATATAGAAAAATATATTTCTTTTCAGATTTTTCTGCAGCAACCAGATTTAAATAAAATGCTCCATTTGCAAAATAAAAGCATTGTAAGATTGCACTCGTATACCTCCCCGTGGAAAATTTTGACCATCATCACTTTCATAGTTCTTCTATTCTCCACAAGTGCCAACTTTGATTTGCCCATTAGATTAAAGTATTAAGAGGGACATAGATTAGAGTTCTTCTTACTCTTCTTGGAGGCGACTTGAGTTTAGCTTCCGCTTCCATCCGTGCCCTCAACACCCTTTACTTCTGCCAATTGTTTTTCTTTCACCTTGGCTTCCTTTTCGACCTTTAAGCTGGGTTTGGACTAGGCAAGTCAAATGATCAACTCAGTTGAATTCAATTTGCTTGCAAAGTTGAGCCTGGTTCAACATTCTTCAATTTTCAAGTGAGTTGATTAAGTCAGTTGAATGGCATGGTTTACACGTTCAATTCGCGTTCAAGTCAGTTGAATTCAACTGACTTGATCAATTGACTTGCCCTGTCTAAGCCCAGCTTTATGGTGTATTCAGACCAGAACGAGAGCGTGGTTAGCGGAGTACGAGATGGAAAATGACAGGTGGGTAGGAACTCACGGTCTCCCAGTGTTGGTGAGTTCTTTGCACAGTATAGAGTTCTCTACCACCTTTAGTATTAGTGAGCAGTTTCACTAATACAAGAATTTTACTGGTTGAAAATAAAAAACAAACCGCTGTCAAGTCGAACACTTTGACAGCTGATTTCGTGGTTGAAAATAATAAACAAATCGATTTTACACGGCTACACTAGCAACGTTGTATTGGTGAAATCTTGCGGCAAGAAGTCAATTGTAGTATGGCGTACAAAGTAGTGTTTTTGTTGAGTTGTGCTGTGAAAATAAATTCATAATTTCGTGTGAAATAGTGGCGTGCGCCAACGCGTGCCCGTGGTGTTTTTCTAACAGGATAAGTAGAGGAAAGGTTGCCTAGCAACTAGTTTTTGTTTAATTTTGTATTCCCCCCCCGGCGCGCTATTGATTTGTATAGTGAGCTGTGGCGGTAAAATTTTATTTTGTGTTCTCCTCCCCTGTATATGTCTGCTGCTAACAGTGTTAGCGTTTAATTTGGTAGAATGGATGCTAGGCGCCTAATACATAGGTGACACAGTAGGAAGAAGTGTTAGTTTGTTTACTAAAATGAACCATGCCCATTTTGTTATAGCAAGTTTGCTATAAGAAATGCTCCTCGTGTTTATTAGCGAAATTCACATCAAAGCAGTGATGGAATTCTCACCAAAATATCATTTTCGCTTGCGATACGTTTTCTCTTGGAAACTTTCCCTCACTAGTTTCACACTCCAATATTTCCTGAGCGAACTTTCTGGGATGAGAGAATGAGATATCGCGAACTTTTTTAACTCGAATCACCAACGTGAGGATACGAAAAATATCAGATCATTTTTTTTCTCTATCTCTTTACACCACATTCGTTCTTGAAAATTGCACTGCACATTTCACAAGGGAAAGATTATAGACAGAAAGCTATCCCGAGTAAATCAATACAATCTCTAAAGACTGATAAGTCTGGTACCTGGCTGTCTACTGGCGCCTGTTGTTTAAAGTAGGCGTTATCAGGATGATGTGAACAGTTTGGTGCATTGGTTTCTGGCAAAAAAATGAATGAATCAGCACAAGTGTCAACGCGACATTAACGAGGAACGGGGAGGGTAGTGTAAGATTTTGTGACTAGCAATTTTTATATTAAAACCGTTCCTCAGGATAGGGGGTTGCGGAAGGAGGAGCGCCTAATGTATCCTCATTTTCACGAAATACAGTTAATGCATGGCTCCTCTCATCACTAGTGTTCGTAATATCGTTCCTGTAAGCTCTTATGCAATAATTATATGCAGGGGGATGGTTGGGAATATAGGTGGTGGTGAACTTTTTCACTGTGCTATTACCAGTGCTGTAAATTCTCAAAATCATTTGAACATTTTTGATGAAAATGAGAAAAGTAGCTATTCGCTATCAAAGGGGACCTCCTCCGAATGGGTGATATCAGTTGCTTAGCCATTTGACGAAGGCATGGATCATTCTCATTTGAGAAACGCTATATATCATTCGATTGAGTGTAACCTACACACAAACGGAGCGCTGGTCGACATTCCGGCGAAAAAGCTAAGCCAACCCGACACCAACCTGACTTCTATCAAACCCCAACCCAATGTTGACCCAACATTGACCCGACATAAACCCAAAATTGACCCGACATTAACACGCCATTGGGTCGACATCGACCTTAAATTAGCCTTACATTGATCCGACATCGGGTCGACTTGTCTGTTCGGGACCATTTTCCTGGATTTCTTCCATACTCCACTGTGGTATATCAAATGATACTGAGTGACTCAATTGACAGTGACAATGAGCTTCGAATGAGAAAGGGGCTCTTCAAATTATGGTCATGTGAGAATTCGTTTACACAGAATTGATTGAATGGTTGTAGTGGTTCATCTTCAATCGAATGATATGAAAATTTACAGCACTGGCTATTACTGTCCTCTCACATGACTGGGAATCCTGTAAAACAATGTAAAACTAGAAAGGGTCTAGACCCTCCCTATGTAAAACCATAAGGTATGCGGGACTGCTGCACTGCTGAACTTCAAAACGCTTTATTTGCTGACCAAGGATCTGACAAAAACATCTTTTTAGTGTGCAATTTAGGATGATAAAAAATTTAAACAGGTTATTCAATGTCCATTAAAACTGTAAAAAATATAGGCAGAAAAAAAAGAAAACAAAAAATTATTACCAGTTGGCTGGAAATGAACACAAAATTAATCAAAGTACCATGTACCTTGAGCTTTTGATATAGTGACAGATTGAGAACGATCTAAATTTTCCATCCACAAGTATTGCAAGACTTGAAATTAACAGACACTCTCAAAATACTTTCAACTTGCGAAGTGATGGATTCCCAAGTGAATACACCTGCTGAATAAAAATTAACAAGTAAACTATTTTTTATAATCGATGTTTAATAGATTTTTTTTTTGCAGTTTGAGATCCATGAAATAAGTTACAGTAGCTTTATGGCACCAGTGACCAGCAAATTTAATATTTTCATTCAAGGTTGTGTGGAAATTCAAGCTACCGGGCGAGCTACTGGGTTACATTGCTGTCCTCTACCTAATGCAGTCGAGTGATCAAATCAGAAAGTTAGCAGATTAGAAATCAATTAATAACTAATTTCCTCAACGTTCAATTAAAAAGTGGTCTTTAGAAAAAAAATGTAGCTGAGAAAATTTCCTATGAGTACACAAGGCTAATTTATTGGTAGATCATTATGGCGAAATTTAAAGACGAGGTGAACAAAATAATCACTTATAAATTTTAGATGGCCATTGCAGAATGAGATCACAACCCAATAAGCTCAAATTTTGGGAGAATTATCTGGACCTGATTAAAAATCGATTGAAATTAGTGAAGCAAAGCCGATATTTTGAACCACCCTAATAAGCATGTTCTCAATGCAGTAAGACTAATCAACAGAATGCTTGCTAGCTAACACTAAACATTTCTAAGCGCCAATCTCAGTGGTCTAACTGTACTTCGCACTAATAGCATAGTTCTTCTTGTCGAAGAGTACAGCCACAAATGATGATTTGGTCAGCAAAGATTAGACTCTTGGT